ACGAGGCTACGGGCAGCGCGCGCGGCCGCAGGCTGCGTGCGGCGACGGACTGCGTGGGCTGCGGGCTGCGCGTGGCGACAGGCAGCGTGCGCGGCTGCAAGCTGCGTGCGTTTGCGGGCTGCGCTGGGCGACGGGCCGCACATGCGCGGCTGCGGGCTGGTCGCTAAATGCGGGCTGCGCTGGGCGACGGGCCGCGCTGGCGTGACCTATCCAGAATGCGCGCGGGCGGCTTAAGGGGCGCACAGGTGGGGCCGAAACGGGCTGCGCGGGCTGCTGAAACGGCGCACGTGGGAAAAAAAAAATGGATCGCCCGAGGCGCGCGCAGACAGCCGAGGCGCGCGTAGGCACTAGACGAGGCAGGCAAGCGTGGTGGGCCCTAATCCTAGGTCCTAAGGACCTATGCTCTATACCATGTTAGAATCTTACGGGGAAAAGTGAGAGTCGACTATCGAGGGGAAAAAGTACAAAGGAGAAACCTAAGGGGTTGTACCCCATAGTGAGTACCCCACTAAGCCTAACCAACCTATAACATATATACACATATGTTTGACATGTAGTCCGCTCCGTTTTGTGTCGATACTTCGATTACTTCAGAAGCGTTAAATTACTTATTGAGAAAGCTTGCTTTCTGTTCTTGCTAAGGCAACGGGCTTCATTACAATTGGGTCTTCTGAGACATGTGCGGTTGAGGCCGTTGAAGACGTGTTGAGTGTGGTTGATGGCATCGACGAGTGCCGAGAAGGTGGTGCTGGTGAGTGTGATCCCAATGTCGATGGGGTTCGGAATATTGTGTGTACGACGAAGGTTGCTGGTTACGTTGGTGCGGCGGATGTCCTTGATTGTCGGTGTAGCAGGAGAGTGGTTGAAATTGGCGGTTTCCAAAAAACCATACACGCAATGTGGAGCCTTGATCTTGGATTTTGGTGACATGTACTCTATACTTGAATGTCCCTGACGAATTCCAGCGTGGGTGTCTTGGGTTGAAGTGATAGAAGGGGAGGCTATCCAACACTATGGTTAGATTAGACAAGAAAATACCCCACTGCTCCAAGCCAAACCATTTTTTTTTATATATATATACATATGGCAATAACCAACTATGATTCGTATTGACAAACACCATGGTCAAGAATTTGCCCATCTAAAATCAGCATATGCATGTCCCTCCCTAAGGCAGTGGCCCTCTGGCCGGTGTAGGACCTTTGGCCCCAGAGGAACGGCTCTCTGGCCACACGGGGACCCTCGGTCCCCTCCCCCCCTTGGGGACGGCTCTCTGGCCACACGGGGACCCTCGGTCCCCTTTCCCCCCTGGGGGACGGCTCTCTGGCCACACGGGGACCCTCGGTCCCCTTCCCCCCCTGGGAGACGGCTCTCTGGCCACACGGGGACCCTCGGTCCCCTTCCCCCCCTGGGGGACGGCTCTCTGGCCACACGGGGACCCTCGGTCCCCTTCCTCCCCTGGGGGACGGCTCTCTGGCCACACGGGGACCCTCGGTCCCTTCCCCCCCTTGGGGGACGGCTCTCTGGCCACACGAGGACACTCGGTCCCCTTCCCCCCCTTGGGGGACGGCTCTCTGGCCACACGAGGACACTCGGTCCCCTTCTCCCCCTGGGGGACGGCTCTCTGGCCACACGTGGACCCTAGATCCCTTCTTTCCATTGGAGGACGTCGTTGGGTGTGTGCAGTTGATCGTGTCGTCGGTGAAATTTTCCGACGCGTCTAGTAGAGTCCCACTTTAACAAACTTCTTTCCACTATCACGGCGTTGGGCCCGTATTTCTGCCATCAAGGGATTGACGGGGCATAGATATTATTAAACAGAAAATGCAGAGAACGTAATGAAACAAGAAAAGAAGTTGAAATTGAATTGCAGCACTTATATGCCACTGAACGAACTGGTAGTTGACGCCTAGTCAAACGCTCTAGGCGCTGCATTGGCTATGTCGTCTCTGTGGCGCTAGTGGCAATTTCGCCACTAGCGCACGTGGCAATTTCGCCACAGTCGCGCGTGTGGCGATTTCGTCCCTGGCGCGCGCCACTGGCGCCAGTGGCGATTTCGTCCCTGCTGCGCGCCACTGGCGCCAGTGGCGATTTCGTCCCTGGTGCGCGCCACTGGCGCCAATGGCGATTTCGGCACTTGCGCATGCCTCTGGCGCGTGCCACTGGCGATTTCGTCTCTGGTGCGCCAGTTGTAGTTTCGTCCGGCGCACTTCGCTCTCAGTTGAGCGCACGCAAATTACAGTTGCACGCCTGATTCTGTCGCATTTCACAGTGAACGCGCGGGGGAGCCAGAGCACTTGGCAGTTGGGTTGTTGTTTCCTAGTACACATGATGCCCGTTTGAGCCACTCCCGGTTGCCTTGTTAAGGGGGCTCATAAGCTACACATGCATTTCGCCAGTGTTCGTAGGTTTCGTTACACTTGTAAAGTGCTTCTAAAAAATAATGGTAACCAGCTCATTTGTCTGTTCCGTAACAGTGTGGGTTGGCCACACTTGGCATTAGTGGGTGCTCTTTGTTACCAGGTGTTATCAATGACAAATGGTATGGCAATTACAGCAAACATCCAACTTAGTCTGAAACATGCAACCCACTCTACTCCCCAATCTTGTCAAGCCACCTGGCCCTCAACTTCATTGCCATGTGTAAATGAAGCACACACAATTGTGCACAAGTCGTGCACATTTGTGCCCAGGAAGGAGCACTGAACTCCTTAGGGGGTTGTGAAAACCCCTCACAGACGCATCCACTCGGATGCGTCAGTGTATCCGCCCATCATGGCGGTCACGCCAGCGTCCAGCAGCTGCTGCCGGCGGGAAGGCTGGGTCATCCAGCTAGGCAGCACACAGCCGCGCGGACGTGGGGTGTCGGGCGTAGGGGTTGCGCCCGGCGTAGCTGCGGGGGGCGGGGTCACGTTCAGATTGAGGGGCGGGCTCGCCCACTCCATCCGCTCGATGATGAGCGGATTGCGGATGTCGAACAGGTGGCACAGGTCGCGCGGCGTGATGCTAGTGGCGCGCGCATATCCGATAAGCATTTCGCACGCCGCTCGTGACGGTGAGCCGTTCCTTCGAAATCTTCCTGCCGGGAAGACGACCGTTGCTGTAAGTCCTGCGCGGGAGCACAGACAACCACAGCGCTGTCTCGTCGAGGTTGTAAGTATCGCGCGGCCTGGCCGAGAGATGCATGAGCAGTTGCGGAAGTTTCTGCTGGCAGTTGCGGACAGCGGTAATGTCTGCGCTGGCCGCCTCACCGACCGCGGCGCGGCACCTCACACCCTGACGCCTCAATGCACGGCGAACCCAGCCAATGGAGCAGCGGAACGTAGGCGGGATACCCATGCGGCGCGCCATGGTCGCGACATGGTCGCGGATAGTCTGCAGGGTCAGCGGCACGCCGGCGGGTCCCGCGTTAGAAATCCAACGCGCCATGGCCTGCTCCAGCTCAGGCCACGCGCCGCCACGAACTCGCACAGTGTTGACAGTCGTCGAAGCAGCTGCCCAGCGCTCTGCACCTTTCAAAGTGCGGCTGACCGTGGAACGTTCAGGGCGAATCCCATAGCGGGTGTAACACCACCTCGCCAGGTCCACGTGACGAAGGAGAGGGTTCGCGACATGGTGGGCGCAAATAGCGCGCTTGGTGTGCACCGGAAGCTGAGAACGGCGGTGGAAGCGAGGCATGGTGCCGTGCTGGAGTTACTATGATTGACGATGTTTGACGGGCCAAAATGTCTGCATTTTATCTTGTTTGGAGTGATTGCACATTTTCACAGAGGTCTGTGTTCGCAAGGGCTTTGGGAACATGTGTGTCAAGTTCATGTCATACATTTGCTTTGAAATTTCGAATGGGCTACCGTGTAACCACACAAAGCATTTTATGACGTGGGGTGCCCGAACAACGCTTGGTTGCTAATGCGTTTGTACTGAACAAATGCATAGTACACGTGGCTTTCTGAACCTACCCTCTTGTCTGTTTTACGCACGTTGAACCCACCTTACGTGGCAGTGAGCGTCAGGCGAATGCACGCACGATGCTGACGACGTTTCGTCCACCCCTTTCGCAAGTCAGTACTCTAGCCTAGAAACAAGGCAAACCTGGGCCAACCTGGTTTGGTCTGTGATGCACGTTCAGTTTTGGTCGAAGCGCGTCCACTGTGCTATGCCATCCATGTGCCTGTACCGTGGGAGCAACTTCCCGGGGGCAAAACCTCGGGTGCAGCGTTTCCATCCGGTGCAAGGCAAATTCGAGTGCACGGGTTGGGCATCATGTGTAGTAGGTACCTTAGTACTGGTATTAGTGAGAGCGGGAACCTGAGAAGTGGTTGGACGAGAATGAGTGGAACTGCAAAGTTCCGAAATGAAGTCGTGGGTGAAGGCCGAATGGTAATTATGTACTCGGCGAATTGTAATTTGCCGTTGCTTTGCTGCGTTACAGGCAGCTGCGCTTTCACACTATGCATTTTTAGAAAGTGTTACACACTTTCGAAAAAAAATCATGTTTCCAATTCCAACACATTGCATTCATGTTTCTACTACGGTACTACTACCAAAGCTGCTGCTATTGAGTTCCAGCTTTTCTGCTGCTACCTTCACTCCCTTGCTGGTGGCCCAACAGCAGAAAAAAAAAAAGTGCCTGTTGCCACTCTTCTTGTTGCTGCATTTTGTGCGGCTTCCCAACATAATTTTCAGTGCTCTAGCTTCCCCTGCCTCAAACCGAACAGCTCAAGCCTCATTTCCTGTTTCCCACCTCTTAATGGCGACTCGAGGAACACCTCATTGACCCTGGAGTGGCACCCCCCTGCCCCTTGACTGAAACCTGACTGCCCCATGGGTGACACCTCTTGCATGCCACCTCTCTACACCTTGCAAAACACCTCTCTGCACCTTGAGTAACACCTACTGCACGTTGGGTAACAACCCTCTGCACCTTCCGTAACACCTCTCTCCACGCATAACACCTCTCCACCTTGAGTGACAGCGCTCCCTGCCAGTGACATCTCCCCTCACACCTTCCTTCCTATCCCCTCCCCCTTCCCAAGAGACAGCACAGCCACACCCTCCGCAATCGCTGCTGCCGTCTCGCCTCCCTTGCCTCCTGCTTTCTCCCCTTCACCTCCCTGTTTCCCCCCTCCTGCTGCCCCACCACTCTCAGTACCAGCACCAGCGCCAGCAGCACCACCAGCACCAGCACCAGCAGTAGCAGCACCAGAAGCGGCAGCTCCCACTTTCTCCCCGTCACCTATCGCAGCAGCAGCGGAGGCGGCAGCAGGCGTAGGGCTAGGCATCACAGAAGCAGGCAGCATACTGGCAAGTGCACTCGCACTACTAGACACTCCTCCTGCTCCTCCTCCCCCCACAACCCCAAGCCCTAACCCTGCTGTCCCTCCTCCACTTCCTCCTCCCACTCCCGCTCCTGCTCCCGCTCCTCCACGCCCTCCTCTCCCTCGCCCTGCCCCAGGGGCAGCACCCACAGGGCCGGTGTGAGAATACATCATCCTTCCGTGTCCCCCAAAGCCACCACCAGCAGCAGCAGCCCCAGCAGCACCAACAGCAGCGCCGGGAGCAGCGTTGGCGGGAAGAGGCAGGCCGGCAGGGCCGAAGGCAGGGTTGATGGGGCCGAGAGGCATGAGAGGCGGGAAGGGGTACTCCAGCGGGCGAGCGTCAAGCCGAGGCTGGGAGAAGCGGGGAGTAGGGGGAAGAGTGGGGCAGGGGAAATGGGGAGCATCGGAACAAGGGAACAAGTAAACAGGGGAATAGAGGAAAAGGGGAAGGGGAATTGAGGAAGGGAAGGTGAGGGGAATTGAGGAAGGAAAGGTGATGGGAATTGAGGAAGGAAAGGTGATGGGAAGTGAGTAAGAAGCTACATCAGTATAGGGTTTCGGGTTGATGGGACTGAGAGTCATGAGAGGCGGGAAGGGGTGGTGGGGAGGGGGAGAAGAAGGGGGGACGAAAGGTTGGGGAAGTGGAATGGGAATGGGAAAGGGGAGGGGGAGTGGGGTGGAGAAGGGAATTCGGATGATGGGATAAAGAAGAAATATACATGGGGCAGCAGCACTGGTCCCGGGTTCCGCCCCACCACCTCTTGTGATTTTGGGGAAGCAGAACATACCTGGGGAAGCAGAACATACCTGGGGAAGCAGAACATACCTGGGGAAGCAGAACATACCTGGGGAAGCAGAACATACCTGGGGAAGCAGAACATACCTGGGGAAGCAGAACTGGTCCTGCGTTCCGCCCCACTACAATCCGCCTCTGCTGCTGCAGCTGCTGCTGGTGCTGCTGATGCTGCTGCTGCTGCTGCTGCATATGCTGGTGTTGCATCTGCTGCTGCTGATTGGGATGCTGGTGCTGCATCTGCTGCTGCTGATGCTGCTGCTGTTGCTGCTGATGCTGCTGCTGCTGGTGTTGCAGGTGCTGCGAGTGCTGCTGGTGTGGGAAGGGGTGGGAAGGGTGGCGGGTCTTCCTCTCCTGCATGGCGCGCTGGCGTGAGTCGTAGAAATTGAAGTCATCCAGAATGGACGTGCGCGACGAGTAGCCCTTGAACAGCCGCAGCATCTCCTGCCCCTGCTGCAGCGGCACCTGCAACATAGAAGAACGGTTTTTGAAGGAGCAGCGGGCGAGGGGGAATCGAGTAGGGAATTGGGTAGCGTATGGCACAGGGAACGAGTAGCGCTTAAACAGCCGCAGCATCTCCTGCCCCTGCTGCAGCAGCACCTGCAGGGGGGAATGGAGGAGGGAGGAGGGGGAATGGGGAAGCTCAAGGAGGTTATTGGTGACGAGGGAATGGGAAAGGATGGAATGGACGTGACGAGTACGCTCAACAGCCGCAGCATTTCCTGCCCCTGCTGCAGTGGCACCTGCAAGGGGGGAGGGAGGAGGGGAGAACGACAGGGAAATGAGGGGGGAACGACAGGGAAATGAGGGGAGAACGACAGGGAAATGAGGGGGGAACGACAGGGAGATGAGGGGGGAACGACAGGGAAATGAGGGGGGAACGACAGGGAAATGAGGGAGGAAGGAACATCCTTGCAAGTGCCCGTTCCACTTGTCCTGCTGCCACTACTCCCTCACCCCACCCGCCTCTCCCACTTCCGCCCCCCCTTCTCCACCCCGTTTCCCCACTCCACCCTCCCTTCTTCCCCCCCTCCCTTTCGACCAAACCCCCTCCGTACCTCCTGAGTGTCTCGGCTGTTGGTGACGGGCTTGCCATCATTAGACGCGATGATGATGTGCCGGAACTGCGAGTTTGGCACGTCCTTGATCACGTGCCACTTGACCTGGAAGTGTCCGTTCCACTTGTCCTGCTGCCAGTAGTCCACACTGCGAGTGAAGTCCACTGGGGTCAGCATTTCCGCTACCCCACAGAACTGCCCACTCGCGTTCACCTGGAGTGGGAGGGAATGGCAGGGACACAGGGGAGGGAGCACAGGGGAGGGAGCACAGGGGAGGGCACAGAGGGAAGTTGATAGTGGGCGTCACTTGACCTGGAAGTGCCCGTTCCACTTGTCCTGCTGCCATTAGTCCACACTACGAGTGAAGTCCACTGGGGTCAGCATCTCCGCCACCCCACAGAACCGCCCACTCGCGTTCACCTGGCATGTGGAAGGGAACGGTGAGCGCAGGGACACAGGGAAAGAGGGGGGAGAGGGGGGGAGGAGCGTGTGAGTGAACGCGAGTGGGCAGTTCTGGGTTTAAGGTGTTTGGTTCGTGGTTTTTGGTTCAAGGATTCTGGTTCGGGGTGTCTGGTTTGGGGTTTTCTGGGCTAGGGTTTCTGATCCGAGCTAAAGCAAGCGCACAGAGCACGTACGGAGAAGAAGAGGAAGAGGGGGCAGGGGGTGGCGCTGCTCTTCCCGGCGGCGTCCTTGAAGGCGGCATCGAGGCGCTTGTTGCCCGTGGGGGTGGACGCCCACACGCCGTACTTGATGCTCTTGTGCACATCGTCCTCGCTGTAGCTCTTTATCACGAAGAACCGCGCCGCCTCGTACGACGTCTTGAAGTCTGCCCGATTGTACTCGTCTGGACGCAAGGTTATTCCACCCCGTGCCCCCCCTGCTGCCGCTGCTGCCCCCATCGCTCCCCCCGCTCCCCCAGCTGCCCCTGCTCCCAACCCTGCTGCAGCTGCTGCGGCAGCGCCTATAGGTTCCCCTATGGCACCAGCAGTTGCGCCTATAGGCATAGGCGCACTGGGAGCGCCAGGTGCGGAGGGGGAGGGTAGACCCTGCCCCCTACTTCTGCCCGTTCTAGGGCCTCTGTTCTGCTCGCTAGACCCGTCATAGACCCCGTTTTGTTGCCCCTGCTGCCCCTGTTGGCCTATCTGCTGCTGGTGCTGTCCCTGTCCCCCCATGCTGCCTAGAAGACCAGCTCCTCTGTTAGCAGGGGAACCCGCCCCCCCAGTGGTTCCCCCGCCTCCCCCCGCTGCTCCCCCTGCCCCTGCTCCCGCTCCTGCTCCTCCTCCGCCTGCAGCTGCACTTGCGCCCGCCCCACTTCCGCTCCCCCCTCCCCCGCTTCCCCCTCCGCCTGCCTGGCCCCCACCCCCAGGGCCTTGCCCCCGCCGGTTCCCTCCCCATCCGCGCCCGCCTCCCCTTCCCCCTCCTCCGCCACCGTCCCCCCCGCGCCCGCCTCCCCCGCGCCCGCCCATAGGCTGCTGCCCCCCGCGGGGGAGGAGATTGTACCCCCCACGGCCCATGGGGAGCGGGTTTATGGGGGGGGAGGCGGAGGACATGGGGGAGGGGCGGGGGTAGGCGTGCATGGGCATGTGGGGCATGTGGGGAGGGGCGCCGATCACTTGGGGCATGTGACCCGGGCGGATGTGCGCGGATGCTGCTCCTGGCTGGGCGGAATCGCCAGGCTGGGCTGGGTCTGGGGGAGGGGAACGGGGAAACAGGGTGGGGGGGAGGAAAAGGGGGTTAAGGGCGCGGCGGGCGAGTTGGCGGGAAAGGTGAAGGATGAGGGGAACACGGTCTCAGTGAGTAGAAAACGGGCAAGTGGGGTAGGATGACAATTACTGGGGACGTGCGTGGGGGGCATGGGCGCAATATGTTTCCGCCCATCAAGGGCGGGTGTGCGCCCATCCCTGACTCACAACTTACCTCCAGGCGAAGGAGGGCGGAGCAGGGGCAGCTGGAACATGGGTCCTCCTGGAAAGGGGTACCCGGGGGGAGGGGCACCGAACATGTGAGCGCCCATCATGGACGGATGCTTGCCCGTCCCTGACCCACGACTTACCGCCAGGCGAGGGCGGACGGAGTAGGGGCGGCTGAAACATAGGAGGACCTTGAAAGGGGTACCCGGGGGGAGGGGCGCCGAACATGTGAGCACCCATCATGGACGGGTGTGCGCCTGGGGGCATGAAAGGCATGAAGCCGGGCGGAGGATGGTGAAGGGCCATGCCCTGCTGGGGTTGCTGCTGGGGTTGCTGCGGCTGCTGTTGTTGCTGCGGCTGGTTGGGTTGCTGCCCTTGCTGTTGCACTTGCTGCTGCTGCTGCTGTTGCTGTTGCTGGCCTGACGGTTGCTGCCCTGTCTGCTGGTTGCTGCTTTGTGCTTGCTTCTGATCCTGCTGTTGCTGCTGCTGCTGCGCACCTTGTGTCGGCTGCTGCCCCTGTTGCTGCGCCTGCCCCTGCTGCTGCGCCTGCCCCTGCCCTTGCTGCTGCTGCCCCTGTTGCGACTGCTGCTGCGCCGTTAGCGGCGGCGGCGGGGGTTGCGGCTGGCCAGGTGGATGTGGGTGCATCATGTGCGGCTGGGGCGGTTGACCAGGCGCATGGGGGGGCATGAAACCGGGCGGCATGTGTGGGTGTGGGTAGTGTGGCACGTGAAACCCAAACCCTGGCTGCAGGCAAAGGACGGGAGTAAAGCAGAGGTGAAATGAGAAAAAATAAGCTGAAAAAGACACAGCATCCGTAAGAGGGAAGTTTCAGCTACCATCTGTCGGCGGGTTTCCAGGAGGTTTAGGAGGCATCGGCTACTGAGCCTTTCAGTTGAACTAAGACGGCGACGGCTTTGCAAATGGCTTTGCAAACGACCTTGTCAGCGGCCCGGCAAACGCCATTATAGACTACCCAGACGACCTAATTGGTGGCTGCTGAGCGTCGATCATGCCCGCTTTTGAAGATGATTTTGAATCAGCTCAGTATTCAGCTACAGCCCTGCAAAGGCCCTTGCGACCTACCGACTCCTCCACCATGCCTGCTCCCCAAGGTGATTAATTTTAACTCACGAATCACCTACAGCGCTGGAAATGGCCCGGCAAACGGTGCTGCAAGCGGGTTTGTCACCCAAACGACCTACCGGCGGCTGCTGGCCGTCCATCATGCCCGCTCCCCCTTCCATCCGCGCAGCCATGCGCATGTACTCCTCCCACTGCTCGGAGGGCATGCGCGGAGGATCCGCGTAGCCTGGGGATGGTGGGGAGGGAGGGACGGAAGAAAGTGGAGGGGAACGGGGGATAGCAGGGAAGGGTACGATTTGAGTCAACTGAAAAGTCCCCCATCCATCCGCGCAGCCATGCGCATGTACTCCTCCCACTGCTCGGGGAGCATACGCGGAGGATCCGCGTAGCCTGGGGGGACGGGAAGATGGGGGAAGGGGAGGGAATGGGAGAGAGCGGGGAGGGGAAGGGGAGAGCGTTTGAGCGTTGAAGGGCATTTCCAGAGGAAAGGCGAGGGTTATTAAAGAAAGGGGTTGAGAGGGGAAGAGGGGTGACGGGAAGATGAGACACCCGGATGGTGATCGAAACGACGAGAAGTAAATAACGGAAGGATGTACGGAACAAAAAAAACCGAGGAAAAGAAGGGGGGGGAATGGGGTGGGCGGAGGGAGGAAGGTGCAGGAGGGGGGTCGGGGAAGGGGAGGGATTGGGGGGGGCGGGGGGCGGGGGGGGGAGGGTGGACGGGAGAGGGGCAATGGCAGTGGGAAAAATGGGTTTTGGTGCTAAAGATAAATGTTTGAATGAGGCAAAAAATGCTGACCTGGCATGGAGTAATCGTAGTAGTAGTGGGGGATGTATCCATTCCCGGGGTAGTACATGCCATGCATATCCGGCCCCATAGGCGGAATCATATACGGCTGCATGTGCTGCATTCCCCCGGGCATCGGCTGCATCACGGGAGACGCGCCCGCCACCCCCCCCGCTACTCCCCCCCCTGCGCCGGGTGCTCCGCCTGCGCCCGGAAACCCCGCGTCTGGGGGAATGGTTCCGGGCGGGCCCGCGATTACTGGGCCCGCGGGTGCGGCGACAGCGCCTGTCGACGGTTGGAAAGACCCCCCTGGCGCTGCATGGGAGCCCCCTGCTGCTCCTGGAGCCTGCATGGGACGAGCGAATAAGGGAAGGAGGCATAGAAAGTATGCGGAATTCTTTGAGACGTCTCAAAGGCGATAGTTGGGAGCCCCCTGGCGCTGCATGGGAGCCCCCTCCTGGAGCCTGCTTGAGGAAAAGGGAAAAAGGGAATTAGGCATAGAAATATGCGGAAATCCCGCTGATATTGGCATTTGCCAGTGGCGAAAGCGTGTAATATGGATCAAATTGATTCGAATATCGCTTTTGATTAGGTGGCCTTCTGGTTTGTCGCTGCCTGGTCAGGTCCGTGGATCGGAGAGGCTTGATACCTCTCGCGGAATAAAGTGTGTATCCAGGATTATTTCCGGACGAGGTGAATGCGGATTGGTGGGGACCAAGATTTCCTCTGATATCAAACGGGAATTCTTTTCCTAGGAAACGCACGCATTTGCACTAAAAGGTTTAATAACAATCGCTCGGAGAGGAAAAGAGCAGACCCTTTCAAATCATCAGAATCGCAATTCGAGTTGCAATCTTAGAAATCTTAAAAATCTTATCAATGAAGGCGAATGTACCTCTGCTGACGGAGTCACGGCAGTCGGAGCTGCTGCTCCGTTAGAGCCGCTGGATCCCTCTGGTTTGTTGGAAGCTGTTGAAAGATAAGAAAGCAAGAAAGCCGGGAAAACCCGCAAAAAAAAAAAAACAAACAAACAAACAAAGGGAGGAGGGGGGGAGGAAGGCGGGGGAGGATACATGACTGGACGCAGAAGTCATCATCAGCAAGAGATTAGGTCCACAGAAGCAGGAGCGATGACGAACAGTGAATTCACTCGAGCGTACATAGCGAACGCGCGAGTAATTCGTAACCCTCAGTTTTTTGTTTTTTTTTGTGTGTTTTTACTAATTGTCCACGTGAGATGGCTACCTTGTCCGTCTTGCGTGACGCTGGGCGACGGTCCGGCCATGGCTCCTTAGGTTTCGGATTAGGGTTCACGAGAGATTTCGAGGATGACTGAAAAAGACTCACAACTTGTAAAGAAAAAAACAACAAAAATAAACCTAAAACAAATGAAAATAAGATCTAAATTGGCTAATCGTATCTGCCTTGCATGTGTCCCTGGCAGGCACTATCTAGAGGCCTAGATCTCCATTTAGAGGGTACGTAGAATGGAGGAAGAGGGGAGGAGGGGGAGAGGGGGAGGATAAGTGCCTAGTTTTCTAACAATAAAAAGCTTGAGTCTTGCTTCAATGTTGCTGCTTTTGGTTTCATGGCTCTCGCTCGAGGTAGGCATTCAAAATGGATTGAGCTAGTTCGACTTGCTACCGTACTGCACCTAAGAAAATGTACTTTCTATCATTCTGAAACTCGTGCTACCGCTTTGCAACAAGGTTTCTGATGTTGATCTAACCTGGTTCTCAGGTATGTGGATTGTTTCTGCTGGCTTTCTGTCACCTTCATCCCTATTTCCCCACGCCACACATCCTCCCCCGACAGCCTTCAGGCATGTGGATGAGTCATGCAACAGTACATTCATAGACCATGGTCCACGATCCATTTGAGCTTCCTCGTTTTCGCGCTGGCGATACTCATCGAACCGATATCTGGACTGTCCAACTTCGCCGGGTTCGTCAAACACCAATGACTGTTGGGATTCGGGAAAACCACGGTTCTGTACTGGAGGGAGGTGGTTTGATTGGCGGGCTCAGGCTTTGCCGTGGCATCTTGGGTTTGCCTTGCATCTTGCAGCGGGGAGTAGTTCTCCAATATAGCACGCTAGATTGACTGAAAGAACCCCCAATCAAGAGGATCGTGTACATTCTTGAATGAATCACAAATTTGACATGCTGTAACTTTCTCAATGTAGAAATTAACTCCTTCCACGCGGAATCTAGTAAAAAAAAAAAAAGTGGTCCTTCTGAGATTTTTTGTGGCTTTGTAAGGAAAATTCATTTTCCTTACTTCGCGTCCCTGCTCAGCGCGTACACCACTGTTTCCCGCCAACAGCACCCCACAATTATCCGTTACCACTCACGACATTCGCCTCGACACTATTCCCGCCACTGTTCACAATGCGACCCAACCTCACGGTTCGGTTGGTAACCCGCGCTCCGGACGTCCGCCTCGACAATCCCCAACCTCGGCGCCAGGCCTGTCACGCACCCCACTTTTCACACGTTACCGTTACCACTGTAGCTCCGCTGTACATTATTCGCTCAATCCTTCACTCATTGGATTCTTGCCTCGATAGTGCAATCCTCGCTTGCTCACTCAATTGCACTCGTAACACTTGTTACCAGAGCCTACGAACTTCTCTCGGACCGCACCCACACCTTCGCTTCCCCACTCTCTCGAATTTTGGGGGGGGGTAGACGTCTCTCAGCGACCAAGCACCGCCGCTCGTAGTGCTCTCTCGTAAGCACGCACGGCCACGACCGAGGCTCTCGCTGAGCTTGCCCGACACCCCCGCCATGGCTGAACTTACTCTCGCGACACTGACGCAAGCACAACTCGACCGTCTCGTGCGCCAACTAGAGGATTCGGCCCTCGAAATCGCTACGCTCACGGCGGAACGCGACTTCGCCCGCCAGCAATCGACATTGAATACACCAGCACCAACAAATGCACCTGCACAATCAGAGGAGCCGATCGTCATCTCATCGGGCACACCGACACAGAACGACAGCGTGGGACAACGCTCAGGCGTAGCCAGTGATGGCGCCACTCCCTCAATGCCTGGCATGGAGAGAAATAGGGCCGCACCAAGCCCACGGGAGCCTCGCGAAGCCCGTCGGCATGTGGAATTTGCAGCGACAAGTGGCGAGCACGCCATCATGGCACCAATGCCACGCAAGCCGCAGCGCCCGCCCTGTTTTGACCCGAGCCAACGTGGAGGTCCGACAGTTCAATCGTGGGTCTTCTTCGACGCAAATTATGTCGAGTCGGACGCAACGAAGATTCGCTACGCTGTTTCGCTGCTGAGGGGCCCCGCCATGGACTGGTGGCGAGTCATCGTGACGTCGCCACGCGCCTATGAGCCACCGTCGCAAGAGGAAGGGCCCACGGGCCCAGCCGTCACCTGGAGTTCATTTTGCGAGACAGCCCAGTACAGTACGTGGGATGCGTGTTGCGTAGGGCTTCGGGCGCGTTTCGAGCCGATTGCGGCTTCGATTTCGGCGCGTCAGAGACTGCGTACTCGGCGGCAGCTCGGATCGGTTCAAGACTACACGGGTGGTTTTCTCGCATTATGCGAGCAAGTCGGCTACATGCACGAAGCGGAGCGGGTGGACCGTTACGTCGGAGGGCTGAAGCCGGACATCTCGTACGAAATCATGCTACGCGGGCTCTCGAATTTTAACGAGATCCTCGCGCTCGCCGAGAAAATCGACATTCTGCGACAGCCGAGACCGAGGTCCTACTACGGACATCGTCCTCGGGGACCAATCGAGCACGCCACCGTACATGCCGTTGCGTTGAATGCAGCTGCCGCACCGATTAAGGGGCGTTGCTTTGCTTGCAATCGGCCGGGCCATCGCAAGAGCAAATGCCCAGAGGAGCTGAGGCGCCGGGGAACAGAGCAAGGGCGGGAGTCTCAGAGGCAGGGAAACGCCAGCAGTCAATAGAATTTGGGCCAACTACTGACGAGACTGCCTGCTTGCCCAACCTCACCGGCCCTCACCGAGTCACAGTACCGATTCACGCTATCGATCGGGCTCGGATGATTAAGGAGGGTACAACGACGGATTGCCCAGTACTGATCCACGGGAGAATACAAGGAGCAGTAGTGATGATTTTTATAGACGGAGGTGCAAGTCACAGCTTGGTTAATACCGCGACTGCAAGAAAACTGCACCTGGCACTCAACCGATCTTTACCAGAGATAGATGCACGCTTAGTTGACAGAACGCCGCTGGCCATACGGGAAAAAGTGGAGCGAGTAAAAGTCCGCTGCGGGGGGAACTTTGGGTTTACACAGGAAATGCTCGCGACGACATTGGATGGGCACGACATTTTACTAGGACGTGATTGGCTGCGACGGTACAACCCGCGAATCGACTGGACGACGGGTAGCTGCACTGTGCGAAGTAGCGGTAACTGGGTTGAACTACCTCGCTGGCAGTCGCCTGAGTCTTCAACAGTCCACGTCAACGCCATCACAACGAAAAGGGTTGTCGCCGCTGGAGCTGACGTGTACGCGGTGGATATCGCAGTGGTGGAAGAAACAGAGCAGCCGAGCGATTTTCAGAAATTGCTGACGGCAGTACCACCCGAACTACAGGAACTGTTAATGCGGTACCCGGGGATTTTTCCCGACGACTTACCGGAGGGACTGCCACCTCAGCGGGCATACGATCATCGAATAGAGTTAGAACCTGGGGCACAGCCAACCGTACAGCGACAATTCAGACTGACACTGTCAGAATGTTATATTTGTCTAGCCTGCAGTGGGGTACTCAATAGTGAGTACAGCCCAATCTAGGGTTTCCTATATGTACTCAACTGCTTGCTAGTGCATTCACCTTCTTTCATTCATTCCTGTTTAATTCTTCACATGGTATAGAGCTGGTTCCCTACTGGGACCGATCCTTCCTAGGGCCCACCACTTCGCTAAACTTTTTTTTTCTGCCCTGCCCTTAGCGCGTTTCGCGCTCTGCCCTGCTGCCCGTCGCGGCCCTTCGTGGCCCCTTCGTGGCCCCTTCGCGACCCCGTCGCGGCCCTGTCGCGGCCCCTTCACGGCCCCTTCGTGGCTCCTTCGCAACCCCGTCGCGGCCCTGTCGCGGCCCCTTCACGACCCCTTAGCGGCCCCTTCACGGCCCCACCCCGTCGCGACCCCGTAGCGACCCCGTCGCGGCCCCGTCGCGACCCCGTCGCGACCCCGTCGCGGCCCCGTCGCGAACCAGTCGCGGCCCCGTCGCGAACCCGTCGCGGCCCCGTCGCGGCCCCTTCACGGCCCCGTCGCAGCCCCGTCGCGGCCCCTTCACGGCCCCGTCGCGACCACGTCGCGACCCCGTCGCGGCCACGTCGCGGCCCCGT